TAATTGTAAGGGGCATTTTTGAAATTACACACTTCAATTTCCCACTAAGAATGGTCCAAAAAGGGCGTTTTGTCTGTTGACCGGTGGTCAAGGAGGGATTTTGTCCTTATGAAAAACGTTGAGGGGGTAATTGTCTTTGGGTCATAATTCGAGGGGTCAATTGTCCTTATCCCTTTAAAGAACTCAGCTTATGAGCCTAATTACAGTTTTATTTATGATAGTTATATTTTAGATCGAACCGGTAATCTTGACCCATGACTTAAGTTTTGACCCAACCCATCCAATACTTTGACTTAATTGGTTTGGGTCATATTAAGTCATGGGTCAAGTGATTCATGACTTAAATAAGTCACTCTTAATTTATGGTTGGGTTGGATTGGGTGAACAACACGAACAGTTCATGTGTGTAATTTAGGTGGGTAAGTTTGATCTAATTTTTTTTAACCTCCTTGAACATCCCCCGACACCACCAATCCACCCCTCAAGCCCGACGAAAGTGATGTCGTATGGTCATCCTCATCGGTCTATTCTTCTGACACCGACTTTCTCTCCTCTCTGCCTCATCCTCCTTCAACTACCCTCACCCATCCTGTTAAAGTCACATTGGACTCTCATCTCAAAACCAATTTGCAATGAGTAGGTGGCCCTTGGAGCTTATAAACAGGTGACAGATCCTTCACGACACCGATGTGGGATTCTTTGTCCCAACACCCTTCCTCAAGGCCAATGAAATTTTTAGCCCATCGGGGTTGCACAACACAACATAATTCACCAGATATACTACTGGGTCAATCAACAACTCCGGATATACTGCCGGGTCAGTCAACAACCCCGTATACACGGGTCTACATTCCGGATATACTGTCGGGTCAGTTTACAAGCCCTAACATACGGGTCCATAGTTATCACCCGTGTACAGATCGTGGCCTCTCACCTCAAAACCAATTGACAATGAGTGGGTGGCCCTTAGAGCTTATAAACAGGTGACAGATCCTTTACGACACCGATATGGGATTCTTTGTCCCAACACATCCTCATCGTCACCAGTCCAGCCACCTCAACCATTCTCCTTTTTACGGCCTCTCCGTTGTCCTCTCTAATGACCACCTCCCGTCTCTTGTTCCTCAGAAATTGACCCTCAATCCTTCTATTTTGAGATCATCAGCCCATCTGCCCTCAACATGACGAAGTTTTTAAGGAATCTATCTGAGATTGAAGCAGCAATGAGATATCTATGTCCGAGAATTTCTCGGATTATTCATTGATCCCCAACGACTTGCTACTTGAGTTTGAAAACCCAGGTGGTGCCCGATTTCAATGACCTATTTGAGGAAAATGCCAACATTTTTGGAGTGAATTTGGAAGATTTCTATAGTAACTACTTGTTTATTGATTCAAGTCACTGGGAGATAGAGTTCGAGTCAGCAATGTGGGCCAGTGGAATAATCGATAATTTCTTTCAAGACTTTGGGGATAGATTCGGGTCCGATCCTTTGGTGGCAGAAAAGAAAAGATAAATGATGAGCAATGGAGCTATGAATTAGTTAGGGAAGATATTCAATTGTCTACTCAATTTTGTTTATGTTTGATTAGCATTTTAGTAATGTTTATCCACTAATGTTTACCCAATGTTCTATGTGTTTAACATGGCATGAAAATTGAGTTGGTAAGTTTGTTCTTTCTGTAATTTTCAAGTGAAAAAGATTTTTTTCAAATTTAATTCATTGGCGAAATTTAATAGTGTGCTTGACTTAAAATAAAAATGTAATCAAATTGTCCATAACTTAGAAAATAAACAATATATGTGATTTGTTATGGAAGAAAAAAAAATACATGTGATTTATTTATGAGTATAGAAAAAAATAAATGTAATCAATTCTTTCTAATTAAAAGAACTTAAACCAAGAAAAAAAATATGTGATTTATTAATGAGTATAAAAAAGAAATATAATTAAGAGTAGTTAAAAGTTAATTATAATTTTAATGAAATGACTCATTTCTAAAGAAAAGATAATGAGTTAAATGAGTCGTTGATCCACATAGGTTGTCTAAATGACTCATACTAACCCAATGTCACAGTCTGCGGCTAAATTGATTACTGAATTTTAATTGGAGGACTTCAATATAATTGTGTGACATTAAATTCATTTCAGACAAGATTAGGGATAATAAATGCAATATTCCATTTCTGTTGTAATTCCGTTTTTCTATTCGATGGACACTATTCCAGCTATCTGGATTCTTATAGATTCAGTTAGGGTTACGCTTACCACGTCGGAGGATCAGTGTATAAATTTAGCTTGTAACCATTTGGATCAATTGTCAAAGAAAATATCCAAATTGTTCGCTTTTCATTCCTTTTTCTTTTCTGTATTTTCTTATTTCTCTTGTTGTCGCTGCGACTTCCGCTATATTTTGCCGGGATCTGACAAGATGGTATCAGAGCCGGAGAATTTCTTGGCTCGTTACAGCAATGACAGAAGGAACACGTTAGATGAAGTAACTGGAAGAACAGATTCGTAAGCAAGAAGCTCGATTATCTGAAGCTACTGCTATATTTAACGAGCATATCGCCAGAAAGTTTTTAGAGTTTCAGACACAAAATGAAGGTGAAGTTGAAGTCAGCTCTGGAAGGAACGACTTCGAATAGTTAGATGGATCAAGTGGAGGCTTTGATTTCTTCTTTAGCTCGAGCACATAATCATCCAAGTCAAATTTCAGCTACCACAGATAAAGCTCCTCTCTGATTTGGGGATATTCGTAATGACCATTCTACTGTGGTGCTGGATTCGGGAAATTCTACAGCAATTCAGGTCGACGTGAATTTTCAGTTGCTATTAGGGATCTTGGTTTCAGACCTCAATGATATACTCAACCGAGATTAGAGTTGCCGATGTATGAAGGTGATGGAAATCCAAGCACGTGGATACGCAAGTGCGAAAAATTTTCGTGTTGGATCAAGTTTCAGAGCCTTGGAAGGTTGATCACATTGAATGGTACTTGGATGGGAAAGCTAAAACCTCGTTTCAGGCTACTAAGATGCTTAAGCCTCAGTTGAGTTGGATGGATTTCAAGGACGAGTTAATCAGGCGGTTTGTGGAGAAAGGATTACAGGATGATGTTGAAGAATTCAACAAATTGAATTAGCAGGGCAGTGTTAAGATTATCAGGAGCATTTTGAGGAATTAAGGGCCAGAATGTCATATAAAGATGCTCACCTTTCTGAAACCTACTTCATATCTAGTTTCATCAGTGGACTAAATGAGGAAATAAAACCGATGGTAAGGATGGTACCACATCAAGACCTTAATGGTGTTTTTTATACAACTTTGCTTCAAGAACAGAACTTAGCAGTCACCTCTAAGGCCGGAAGTCAGGTTCTTATCAAGTAGCAAAAAGTTACACTGTTCCAATCAAGGTACTTGATCCTGTTAAACCCTTAGTTAAGAAAAATGTTGGTTTTGATCAGTTTAAAAGCATGACTCATGAAGAATAACAGTACAGAAGGAATAATAGTTTGTGTTATAAATGTGTTGAAAAGTTTGGTCCTGGTCGTAAGTGCAAGTTTAGGAACTTTAATGTAATTATTGTGGATGAGGCAATTGATGATAATTCTTTGGATGTTCTTGAACTTAATGTTGACGATGGGATAGATCTCAATGATCTAACCATTAATGAAGGGTCACTACAAGTTTTGTCTGTAATTCTAGTGAAGCAAACTATACTAATAGTTGGAAAGATAGGTGGCCGGCTCATCAGTCTACTGATTGATACTGGAAGTACATATAGTTTATTGATTTGAAAGTGTTGACGAATTTAGAGCTGCATTATGTGGAATCATAACTTTATACAATCACTATGGGTAATGGAAGTAAAGTGTATGGTAGTATGGTTTGCCCTAAACATAGGTGGGATATTCATGATCTTAAATTCAACTATGATTTCAAAATCATGAAGCTTGGAGGGTATGACATGATTTTGGGAGTAGATTGGATGGCACATTACAGTCCAATTACTTTGATTTCCTCGACATGAATATCAAGCTTAGCAAATAAGGGAGGCATATTGTTACATGGGGATGGTAGTGGAGTGAGCATGCAGTTGATAAGGGAAAGAGAATATGTGGAGGCATCTCAGGATAAAAAGAGAAGAATTGTCGCTATGTAGTTAAACTCATTACTGAGAACTGAGGACAAGGAAGATCAGGAGGTGTGTTGCAGTTGATTAAGAAGTATGAGGGTATTTTGGCTACACCAAATTTCTTGCCTCCTCACAGGTTTATATATCATCACATTCCATTGAAGGTTAGCTCAAAACCTTTTAAGATCCCTCCTTACAGGTGTCCACATGCATTCAAAGATGAGAATGAGAGAAAAGTCACTAAGTTATTAGAACAAGGTGTAGCTCAGCACAGTACCAGTCCATATGCATCACCTGTGATGTTGGCTAAAAAGAAGGATGGCTGTTGGCGGTTATGCGTTTATTTCACAAGGTTAAATAAGGTGACTATCAAGGAAAAGTTTCCAATTCCTATTATTGAGGAACTATTGGATGAATTAGGTCATGCTACTGTTTTTACAAAACTTGACCTCAGGGCACCAAATCAGAATGGAAGCTGAGGATATTCCAAAAACTACATTTCAGAGTCACCACGGTCATTTTGAATTCTTAGTGATATCATTTGGGCTCACCAACAAACCTTTAACATTTCAAATTTTGATGAACCAAGTGTTTCAAGCTCAGCTTAGGAAATGTGTGCTTGTGTTCTTTAATGGTGTTTTGATTTACAGTCCAAATTTGGAGGAACACTTGAAGCATTTGGAGGTAGTTTTTGGGCTTCTACAACAATATTAGTTATTTGTTAAAAGAAGTAAGTGTTCTATCTCTCTCGGTTTTCTCCTGTCTCTGTCTCTGTCTCCCACCCCCTCAATTGATTTGTTTTCTATTGGTCTTCTGGCCCGCATTACCCATTGAGGCCCACTTCTTGCAAGTTTGCTAAAATGGAGACTTACAAACCGAAGAATATTCTGATCACTGGTGCAGTAGGCTTCATTGCTAGCCATGTTGCTAATAGGCTCATCAGGACATATCCTGATTATCATGTGGTTGTTCTTGACAAGCTGATTACTGCTCAAACTTAAAGAACCTCCATCCACCTTTTTCGTCGCCGAATTTCAAATTCATCAAGGGAGACATCGGCAGTCTGATCTTGTGAATTATGTCCTTGTTACGGAGTCGATTCGGCCCAGACTCATGTCGACAACTCGTTCGGGAACAGTTTCGAGTTTACCAAGAACAATATTTATGGAACTCATGTTCTTCTTGAGGCTTGCAAGGTCATTGGCCATATTAAAAGGTTCATTCATGTTAGCACAATGAGGTGTATGGTCAGACAGATGAGAATGTGACGGTGGGAAATCATAAGGCATCTCAGCTCCTTCCGATGAATCCTTACTCTGCAGCAAAAGCTGGTGCTGAAGGTGATAGCCTATGGAAGATCATATGGTTTACCTGTGATAACCATAAGGCAAAACAATGTTTATAGACCAAATCAGTTCCCTGAAAAACTGATTGCGACGTTCTTACTCTTGGCAATGAAGAGAGAGAATTTTCCTATTCATGGCGATGGATCCAATGTTTGGAGTTACCTTTATTGTGAAGATGTTGCAGAAGCATTTGAAATCATCCTGGACAAGGGAGAAGTTGGTCATGTCTATAACATTGGAACTAGCAAGGACAAAATGGTGCTTGACATTGCGAGGGATATTTGTAAGTTTTTCTCAATCAACCCCGAAGATGTTATCAAGTTTGTGGACAACAGGCCCTTCAATGATCAAAGGTACTTTTTGGATCATCAGAAGTTACAAGACTTGGGATGGTCCGAGCGGACGATATGGGAGGAAGGCCCGAGGAAAACCATGGAGTGGTATGTTAACAATCTAGATTGGTGGGGAGATGTTTCTAGGACATTGGTTCCTCACCCAAGGATGCTAATGATGCCTGGAAATGGAAAGAACAACTCTGATGTATGTTCTGAGTCTTATGTGCAGAAAAATTCTACTCAGAAGGGAATGGTTGTTCCAGCTGTTAAGAACAACTCTTCCATCCAGAAACCATCCCGGAAATTCCTTATTTATGGCAGAACTGGTTGGATAGGTTGATTTTTAAGCAAGATATGTGAGAAACAAGGAATTCCCTTTGAATATTGCAAAGGGCGAGTTCAAGATATATCACAGATACTCGCGGACATTCAGAGCATTAAGCCAACTCATATTCTGAATGCTGCTGGTGTGACTGGCAGACCAAATGTTTGATTGGTACGAGTCTCATAAACTAGGGATGATTCAAACCAATGTTGCCTGTACCTTAACTTTGGCAGATGTCTGTGGAGAGCATGGGCTGCTTATGTTGAACTTTGCTACGGGCTGCATTTTTGAGTATGATTTTGATCATCCCTTGGGGATAGGCATTGGATTCAAGGAAGACGACAAGCCAAATTTCACTGGTTTATTAAAAAACCAAGGCCATGGTTGAAGAATTATTGAAAAGTTACGGTAATGTATGCACTGAGTCCGAATGCCAATCTCATCTGATCTCAACAATCCTCGAAACTCCATTACAAAGATCTCCAAGTATAACAAATTTGTCAACATTCCAAACAGCATGGCCGTGTTGGATGAGCTTTTGTCAATTGCGGTTGAGATGGCAAAAGAAACTGCAAAGGAATATGGAACTTCACAAATCCGGGTGTGATCAGTCACAATGAGATAATAGAGCTGTACAAGGACTACATTGATCCAAGCTTTAAGTGGACAAACTTCACCTTGGAGGAACAGGGGAAGGTCATCGTCGCTCCTCGTAGCAACAACGAAATGGCTATATCGAAGCTGAAGAATGAGTTTCCAGAGCTGTTATCCATGAAAGAATCCCTAATCAAATACGTCTTTGAACCAAACAAGAAAATTTTGCTGCTTGAGAAGGGCTGATGCAATTGCTGATTTGAAGAGTACTATTCAATCAACCTGAGTTCATTGCTTCAGGTGAAGGGCCAATTTAAAAACTCATAGTTTCACAGATTTTTTTCCCTTACTATTTTTTATACATCTTTCATTATATTACTCGAGAAAACCAAGCAGATTTTCTAGTCATAAAAACATTCTTAGAATCAAATTATCGTTATTTATATCAATACAGAATGCTCCATTTTTCTCTTTATAAAAAAAGGAAAAAGGAGCAAGAATTCTTTTGCTCAGCCTTCAGTTGATTATTTTGGACACTCTATTTCAGCTTACTGTTGGTATGGATCAAAACAAAGTTGTGAGTATTAAAGAATGGCCCGTGCTTGCTACTATGAAGCAACCGAGAGGGATTTTGGGATTGACTGGGTATTACAGACGTTTCATCAAGCATTATGGATTGATTTGCAGGCCATTAATTGATCTTTGCAACTAAGATTGGGGATGGATTCTGAGTTTTGGGCAAGCTCGTGGTTTCTACCATGGCGTTTACCTCTATACTTGCCTTGTAAAGTTATTTAGACACTGAAAGATATACAAATATTCAAAATGACTACCAAAGGCTAATGATGCTAAAATAAAGGCACTAGATGACAATATTGTTTTGGTATTAAAAGAGGTGCAATGTATGGATCAGGCTGTTGAAGTTTTGCAAGAAAAGGTAGGAGTCGAATATGCTAATGGCGCCATAGTTAAAAACCTTCATCATTGTTTTGAAATAATAAGAGAAATTTTATATTCGCAAGTGAATATGATTTACTTTCAAATATTCTAATATTCTGTTAGTGAAGCTTATTTGTGGTGTAATATCATTGTGTGAGGACTTTTTTTTTCTTACTATGTTTGGTATCATCTTAAGGACTCCAAAAAAAAAGAAAAAAGAGAGAGATAGAGAAAAAAGGTAAAGGTTTTAAAGGTAGAACAATTTTTCATACCAATTCGATAAAATATATTTCAGATGTATCCAAATCCAGAATACAATGTTTACCTTTGCACTTTAACTGACCAAAAAGAATTTAAGACCTAATCAGCCGCTAACTCTTCTAGTCTTAGCACTCTCTCCCTCTCGTCAGAGTCTTAACCAATAGCACCATTAACTAACTTGATGCACTGTTCAATGACAATACTCAATCTATTTTTTTCATCCGAATTCCTCAAATAACTTTGCATTTTCTTCGTGAAAATCTCTTTATATTTCTTTATTTGAATTCTTTATCTTTCTTTATGTTCTTAGGCACACAAACAATCTTTAGCAATGTCACATAAAACTAAAGTTTCTTAAGCAACCAAAGTTCATATTGCCCAAACGCTATCATCTTATTCACAATTGCCAAATAAGAGAGAACATCTATCTATTCTTTGTTGTTAACCACATCTTGACAACATGAGGAACAAACAACGCATAAATCTTCTCAAAAAAAGAGAAGAATTTTATCTATCCTATCTTCACCCCATGAATCTCAATACTCGAATTAAGATTTTTAAATATCTTAAAAATTTTATCTAGAGTTGAAGTATCATCGGCCATCGCTTTCAATGATGACAATGTTGCGGCTTCTTCCGAAGTCATAAGTTCCTGGTCGAGGCCACGAGGTACATAAGTTCGGGTACGATTGGTGATAGAAAGATTAGCCACTACATTTCTAAAATACAAAGTTCATATTGCCCAAACGCTATCATCTTATATATCCAGATGTAGCCTATAATAAAAATAATCTCTCAAATAACCATTGATGTTTTCAGGAACATTTTCAAACGAAAAAATCATTAACAATAATATATACAACTACTTCAATTAGACTAAATACAATATTTTGATTTAAATATTTGCCTCTGCTTATGTTTTTTGTCCTGCTAAGAAGAAAAAAAAAAGCACTCTTTTGCCTTGTAATGTTGTTACTCTACTCTACCCATCTAAAAACTGGCAAAGGAAAAAAAGTGGGCAAATCGCCTACAAAAAAAATAAGATATAAATTCATCTAAAGTATTTACAAAAAAGTTGATCCGAATATCATTCAACTCCTTTTATAAACTAAGTGAGCCCAACTATCTTTTTTAAAAAAAAATACAAGCCCAAATATTAAATACAATCAGTAGGTCATTTCCTTGAAATTTTGAGGCCCTTTAACATGTTGAGCCCTGGCCGGTGAACAGATAGCACCAGGGCTGGCCCTGATTCCAACCAATCGGTCAGCTGACTGCATATCGTGTCAAGCTCATGATGACAACACACTTAGCGAGAAGAGGCTAACTCTACTTAGTTGGAAGTGTATATTCCCAAATGAGGGGTGACTTTCTTTTTTCATTTCTCTTAAATGTGTATTTGGTTCTATTATAATTTGTCAGCGACATAACTTGGGAGAACATTTTGTGCATTGCAACAATGTGTTATTTTGGGAATCTTTTGTTGTAATTTAGATATGATTAATTAAGTAACCGCTTCTGACTGGTAATTCTCCTAGACTTCTTATCATTTGCAGGGTGACCTATTGTATTTTAGAATTACGGTATGTGTAATGTCTTAGAGTTGATTATTTACTATAATATTAGAGGTTTGATATGGTTTGGTCCAACTAACAATATTACTTTGTTGTTTTTGTTGTTATTGTAGGGAGGTTAAAGTCAACACCGATGCGACTTTCGCCGAAACAAACAAACGGTATAACGTTTTTGCCATTGTTAAAAACCACCATGACATATGTCAACTCTGGGATCAAAAAGATATTACGGTGGAGAAGGGAACTCAACCTGACCAGAATGATATTGAGATGGTGGGCAACTAATACAGCTTCGAGTTGTTCAGAGAGTAGATGTAAAGAACACCATGATAATTCTGGAGATAGATTTAACCTTAGCTAGGGATTCAACTATTGGCATTCCGATGCGGCCTACACGTACTCCAATCTCAAAATCCGTTTGCTTGTAAGCTAATTAATACTTTTGATGTGCGTTGGAACATGTTGTATTTGTTTAAGCCATTAAGGATTGACGTATTTTCTTTTTTCTTTTTTTAATAGAATGTTAAGGTCGGAAGTGACTGATTTGTGCAAGAATTTCAACTGCAATGTGGAGTTTCATTGGGTCAGCAACAGACTAAATAAGACTGCGGATTATACTGCTAAAGGGTCAATTAAGGGTAAAAAAATGGAAGATGTAGAGCAAAAAAACAAACACATTCCTTTATCAGCTAAAGCATGGAGTCAAGATAAATAGGACAGGGAAAGCCCTTCGGGAAACTCCAATACAACTGAAAAATTGGGTCTATAAACTAGTTTTCTTTGGTAAATACATTTGAGTAAAGCCTTTCAATGTTAATCCTACACAACCGTTTGCCACAATTTTGCTTGCTCACTTAAAGCTTTAGAATCCAATGGTTTTCCGATTGTTTTTCTTCAGTAAATGGCAAAATGGTTGCTAAGTTGAAAGCAACAGTTACTAGGGACAAAATTTTAAAGTTATAATTAGCCAATTTTGATTCTCGAAATGCTTAGGTTTTATCTTCACTGAGGAAACAGAAAATATCTGCAACCTTTTACTACTCTATTGGGTTCTTAATTTGTTTGAGTGCAGATATAGAACTTTTTCAACTGTGAAGTCAATCCTTTGCAATACAATTCAAAGATTTTTCACAAAAAGTCAAATTGAAAAAAGGTAGCCGCAGTCAGTGGTTCAAATGATTGACAAGTTCACCAAAAACAATAATATTGTCAACAAAACATTTTTCGCCTAAACTCTAATAGTTCGAGATATAAACTCACTCAAGAGAGAAAAATAATATAAGATTAATTCCCAACTACTATGTACCTCACATCACAAGTATGATTAAGCTATTGTTAATATTTTTTTTTTTTGGGGGGGGGAGGAGGGGTGGAGGAGGGGGGATTAATAATGTATTAATTTTGATACCATTTATTTATGAGTAGGACAATACCAACATGACATGTATTTGTTCTCTTTCAACAAAATTCATTATGTACAAAGGATAAAAGAACTTTTGCGTAATTTCATACCCGTGTGACCGCACAGGTCCAGAATGTAGTTGTAATCCTTATAAAGTATTATCTTATTTTGTCAATACTCAAGACATTGGGATATTGCATATATGTATACATTTGGATCATGATGGTGAATATCTATTATTTCAAGGCACTCAAAATTGCAAATGGTGTGCAAAGATGATCAACTGCATGAGAACTTCATCTGAATATTAAGAAACTCTATCTATTATAGAGTTCAACAATTATAAAGTGGCTCAACATATTGATACATGATGATAAGATCAAAAGTGACATATCACAAAGGGTGAGCGACCCCACATTGTACTCCTTTTTTCCCTGATAAAGATTTTGTCTTAATGGGTTTTACTGACAAGGTTTTTAACGAGTAAGCGTCATATTTGGGGATGCACTCTTTTTCTTTATTAAATTTTTATCCCACTAGATCTTTTTCTTCTAGTAAAGGTGTTAAGAGCCATTATCTCAAAAAATAGATATCCACGGGAGAGTGTTATAAATATCTAGTATGGATGTCCACAAGACACAAGAATTATACAAGAACTCAAATCCTTAGAGAAATACTATTTATTTGCTCTTATTCTTGTATTTACTTTGTCTATAAAAAGATATCAGTCTCTATGAATTAATATACAGATCATATCTGTCTGTACTTGTTATTTCTTTATAGTTCCATATCTCTTATTCTTTTAGTTTAATTCATAACAAATAAATCTATTTTTTAAAATAAATAAATAAAGCTTAAGATCCTTATGAGTTTTTGAAGAGGTTTTTTTCTTTTTTCTTTATTTTAAAGGATCAACACTTTCCGATATGCTAGAATTTTATTGAGGGAAGTGCCTCAATAGTTGAATGCCATCAGAGGTAGTTTAAGGTGACACTAGTAATTAAATGCCTCTAAAACTTTTGAACTTAATGTAGTATAAGATTGTTCTTCTAGTAGTGTAGATAAAAGGT